TAATAATAATAATAATGTATTTTTTAATCCTGAGAGCATGTGACTGGGAAGATGGCTTGGTTGGTGAAATCCTTGCTGCTTAAAACAGTGGGGGTGGCTCTGGGCTCTCAGCACTTGCAGGGAGGGGTTGGAGTCAGGAAGGTCCCTGAGGTTTGCTAGCTAGTCACTCAGATCCAGGTCCAATGAGACCCTAGTTTTCAGAAATAAGGTAGGTAGTGACAGAGAAAGTAAGATGCACCAAGGCTGCCTTCTGTCCTCCACATTCACCTGTACAAAGGTGTGCACACACGAGTATACCATACACACATACATGCACATACTATACATAGACTGTCCATACTATGAAGAGTTTACATGAACACCCGAGGGAGCTGTGTACGGAGTCATGGTTCCACCCGTAGCCCTCGAAAACCTACAAGTCAGAATCTTTCCTTTGCTTCCTGTCCCCTGACGGGTCCCCACCTCCCAAAGGGTCCAGCTTATGGAGAGTGGGAGTAGAGTTCCCAGCACCTCACTGTCAGAGCAGGCAAGGGACAGACAGATGTCTTCAGAGTTTGCAATGCCGTGCGCTGTGTTGCTGCTCTCGGGAAGACAGAAGCACAGAGCTGTTCTGTGGTCACTGGGAGCTTCAGACAGGGAGGCTAAACCCCACCCTGGCTCACACTCACAAGGACTTCATGGTTCCAAACGGTCACAAAACTCTTCAGGTGTAAACCTGGACAGTACTATGCGGGAAGTTCCAGGGGTGTGGCGGGCAAATAAAGATGGGTTCTGATTTTCCTAAGACTGTCCCCTGCCAGCCATGTGAGTACTTACAGACCTGCTTTGGAGGCTGCAAGGGCAAGGGGGAGTTACAAGGAACAGGCTAAAGGTTGTTTAATTCTGTGCTTTACTGACGACCCCCAAGACATCTGTACATTAGGATCGCTTAAGGTGAGTCTAAAAATTCATGTGTATGTGTAACGGCGGACCACCTGAGGTTAACATCTGGCCTCCACATGCACCTGCTCACACACATCTGCACACACAATTCAGAGCCAAATCCTAGCTAGGAACTCACAGAATCAAAACCCCGGAAGCTGGTTTACAGCAGAGTTCTGGAGTCCACTGACAATCTGCTCAAAACTCAACTGAGGACCAGGAGTCAGTAGCTCCATCTGCAGAAGATTCATGCCCAGTGACGCAAGAAAATGGCCACAGTGTGAACACCAGTTACCGCAGCACTTGGGAGGAGGTGGCAGAAAGACCAGAAAGTCAAGGTCGTCTTCAGGCATTTACTGGCCAACAAGGAGGAGATCTGTTTAGGCCAAGCAAAAGCACTAATAGGTATTGGTTGCCTCTGCCTTCAGGTACAATATAAGGTTCAATATAGGTACACTGCAGTTAAACTCGGACACATTTATTCAATTAAATTCCATGTGCACGATGAGAAACACAATCTAAGGTATACTTCTTACATACCTACACTTCAGTGTATACCAAAACTATGTCCTGGGGAGGAGGTTGCTAGAAAAATGGCTCAGCAGGTTAGAGTACTTTCTCTTCTCCCGGGACCTGAGTTTGGTGCCCAGCACCCACAATATGCGGTAAAAATTGTACATTTTTTTTCTTTTTTTCTTTTTTTTTTTTTTGAGACAGGGTTTCTCTGTAGCTTTGGAGCCTGTTCTAGAACTAGCTCTTGTAGACCAGGCTGGCCTCGAACTCACAGAGATCCGCCTGCCTCTGCCTCCCGAGTGCTGGGATTAAAGGCGTGTGCCACCACAGCCCGGCAAGATTGTACATTTTTATATGCCCTTACGGTGTCGCCCCTTCCACGTTTGTGGACAGTAAGCAATTATGACCAGATTTAGGAACATAAAAGCATATAAATTCATGCTGTGAAAACACTCTGGACGCACATCTCCCTGCTCAATGTTGAGTGTAGACAACTCCAGGAGCCCTAACTGTAGGAGCAACAGGCACAGGGCACAGCTATCACTATGACTACATAGGCTAGACCAGGTCTGGCTGTCCTGAAACTCGCTTTGTAGACCAGGCTGGCCGTGAGCTCACAGACACCTGCCTGCCTCCCGAGTGCTGGCATTAAAGGTGTACTCAAACCCATGATTTTACTAGTGAAAATACAGTTAATCTGAGTGCAGAGGTACATACTCACAAACAGCAGACAAGAGAGGCAGATAAGCAGCAGAATGCCTTAATCCAAAGCCAGGTTAATGTACCCTGAAGCTCCAGTTACCCAGGGCTACACAGGGAGACCCTGCATGATACACCATATCCCCCCCGCCCCCAATTAGTCGAGAAGAATACTACATTCCTGGAATTGTACCACTCTCTTTCTCCTAAACCTGCAAGGAAGGACAAATGGCTGAAGCCACACAATGCAAACACCCATCAACTATGGGGAAAGAACAGCGAGCCAAATGCTCTATAAAAATAAAACTGGATGACATCTTGCATTCACCTGCTACCCCACATATATTTCTGCCTTCCTAATCTTGACGTGGGTGATCTTGTGATACGGCTTTGTTAGCTTAGCGCTATCACGTGACGAAAACATAACTTTCTTCTTATAGTTGAGCGAACAGGAGCACAGAAAGATTAAATGCCTTTGTGCAGGTCACTGAACTTGACCACAGCTGCCAGAACCAGAACTGTCAGATATTGGGGTCTACAGGCATGGCCACCATCACACTCTAAAACCCGGTTTCCCGCTCTGTTCCCCAGCACGAACGGAGCATGCATGGCCAGTACACACAGGAGTCAGGTCCTATCTAGATTAAGATGTAGCATCTCTCCCATGTCCCTCACAGTGGGGCCAAAATTTTCCTGACATCCGTGACTGCCACCAATATCTTGGCAGCTCTGTCAAGCAGGAACCATTGCTTCCTTCCTCCCCAGGATACTGCACACCGGGTCCTCCTTTCAGCCCAACAGGTATCAATTGAGAACCGTGCAGGTGAATGTTTGCTGTATAATCAAATCAGAGAACATGCTTCCTCTAGAGGTGACAGAGCGCACTTTGCAGGGTAGTCATGTGAGAGCAGCAACAAAAAGCGGCATTCACGTCAGTTCCTCATCCTCTGGGCTTTCCAACCCCCAAATTCTGAGCCCACTGCCAAGTCCACCTGACAGGTCGCTAAACGGATCAACGCTGTACCGTGTAACTGGACCCACCAGTCCACATTCACTCAGGCACCGGGAGTCTGTGGGGTGCTTCTCAGAAAACGGTAACAGAAGAGAGGACATGGAAAAATCACAGTTCCCAGAGGGAACACTAGCGGATGACAAGGTCAGCCGAGTTGCTGCGAAGGGCTGTTTGTCAGGGTCGCTGTCGTAAAAGGGAGCTATATAAAGAAAAGGCATACTAACTTTAATTTTCTCAAGAAAATGCTACTCTCTGATTTTTCAAAAATATATTTTCAAAAATAGTTCTTTAGTTGATTTGAAAGGACAGAGCTATTGGGGGGGAGGCAGACCCCCTATGTAGCTTAGGCTGGCCTCAAACTTGTGGCCACTCTCCTGCCTCATCTCACCACCACCCCCCATCCCTGACCCTGTGCTGGAATTACAGGTTTGATTACCACATCCAGCTTCAAGTTTGTTTTGCCAGGAGCAGTCCCAGCAGTTCTGATGGAGCCGTGGAGACTATCTCTCTGACCACTGCAGAGTTCTCATGGAGCTGTGGAGACTATCTGACCACTGCAGAGTTCTGATGGAGCCGTGGAGACTATCTGACCACTGCAGAGTTCTCATGGAGCTGTGGAGACTATCTGACCACTGCAGAGTTCTGATGGAGCCGTGGAGACTATCTGACCACTGCAGAGTTCTCATGGAGCTGTGGAGACTATCTGACCACTGCAGAGTTCTGATGGAGCCGTGGAGACTATCTGACCACTGCAGAGTTCTCATGGAGCTGTGGAGACTATCTCTCTGACCACTGCAGAGTTCTGATGGAGCCATGGAGACTATCTGACCACTGCAGAGTTCTCATGGAGCCATGGAGACTATCTGACCACTGCAGAGTTCTGATGGAGCCGTGGAGACTATCTGACCACTGCAGAGTTCTCATGGAGCCGTGGAGACTATCTGACCACTGCAAAGTTCTGTTCTATTGGAATGGAGAGGAAATGAGCAGTGAGGCCCGAGAGCCAAGATCTGCTGATACGCGCTCCTGTAACTTCAGGGCCCTGGGGATGGCTAGTGCGCACCCCTCTGCAGCGTCCTGCCTGCCTCGGTGAGCAGGCTGTCTATCTGGTCCCCGGCTACCTGGTTTACAGGTTTGAGTTCTAAAAAAAGCAGACAGCATTGAGAGGGAAGGCTGGAGCTTGGTTGGTTTGTCACTAGGGTGACATTTCCTGTTTGGATATGTCCAGACACAAAGATGGATGGAAACGTTTCCAGAATTTGGAGAGCAAAATCCAAAGTTTCAACTTACTCATCCACTTACTTTAATACTAAATAAGTATGTGTGTCACAAAGACCGGGTCTAAACAGGTCAGGATGAAATACGCGAGAGCTATCCTCACAACCTCCCTTGTCCTGCAACTATTCCAGGAAGGTGCAGTTCTATTTAGATTTCCTTCCTCAACCTAGGACATGAAAAAGCAAAATAATTTTTCTCCCTGTTAAGTCTTTCCTTTCTGAAGCCAAAGAACTAATGTCCTTCAGCAGAGTAAAGCAAACACCGAGAGCCAGCTGCTCTTCCCCAAGGATGGGGGCAGGGAAGAAGTGGCCAATGGCATGTCAAGGAAACCCAGAAAATGAGAATCTATCTGGAAGTGCAGTTCTGATCAAGCTGAGCCTTTTTTTTTTTCTTCAAATGATGGCCAATCACTAACAAGAGTGCCGCCCTCATAATTTAGGGAGGAAGAACGAGCTATTTCATCACCAAAATGGAAACGAGAAGCAGCTAGCTTGGCATCCCACAGTCTTGTCTCACAAGCAGCGCGTAACAATTCTTTGCTGGTGTTGTTTCCAGAATGAAAAGCAGGTCAACTTACATGGCTCTCTGGCAATGAACTGAGGTACAGTGTTGGGCAATGGAGTACTGGGGTTCGGAGTCCCTACGAGTTTGTTCTTGGCCATCTTCGTGTTTGCCTTAGCAAACTCTAGTCGTAGTGTTTGCGGGATTTCAGGATCGAAGCGGATGCCCTTTGGGAAAAAGAACAAATGGAAGATGTTAACCAGAATGGTGACAAAATCAACACACAAGTAAACTCTGGCCGATGTCACAGGCTCAAGCAAGGGCTCTCGTTCTCAGTATTCACACAGAACATGCAAAACCTACACTACAGCGTGGCCAGAAGGCCAGACAAATGCGGCTCGTGCTACCACAATCTTCAGTTACGTAGATGTGCAAACATCCCTGTTCTTCCAGAACATTGTCTAGTCTGCCTTTTAAAATGGAGACCAGCAAATTCATAACACAGCTTAAAAACTTTGACTGGCAGCTACTGAGGCTGGAAAACATGACCGATCCAGAAAGAGACGCTGGGCTGTGCTGGTTTGACACCTGAAATCCCGAGCAGGCTGCACTCTGAATGGCATTATAAACAATGAAATTCTTCAGGGCTTTTACTGCCGGCTACCTATAAATAAAAAGAACTCTGTCTCTGATTTGGTTTTACAAAGGTAATATAAGTCTCTGTACACTCAGAACACAGAAATTAAACAGCTGCAACATTTTAAATGTAACTATTTTCATTTAATTCCAGCCATTGCATGAATTTGCTAGGCTCAAAGGGGAGAGATCCTGACTTCTTTTATGGTTGGCTTACAAGGTACAAGGAAACAAAAGATTCCACAGGCCTGAGAGAAAAGTAGCTTTAGTCCCTACCTGTGCCTTGGACCTTTAAAAAAGCAAAACAAAAACAAACAACCAAAACAGCTGGAGCCTGGTGGCATTCCCCTGAATTCCAGCACCTGGAAGGGAGGGGCACTTGGAAGGCAAAGGCAGGTAATCTCTGAGCTCAAGGCCAGTGAGTTCCAGGACAGCCAGGGCTACACCTAGAAACACTGTCCTGGGAAAACAAAACAAAACAAAACAAAACAAAAAAAACAAACAAAAACCACGTTTCACTGAAACAGATTCCAGGCAACCTAAACTACGAGATTCACATCAAGTAGATTTCGGGACTTTCTCCCTCAAGAATGTCTCCATCACCAAGCAGAGCTGGGAGCCTAATGAAAGCCATTCCATGGCAGGAATTCTAGACATTACCATCAAAAAGGCACTCCGGATTGGACTCCACGTTTGTCTCAGTCCTGAAAGTGGGGTGTGCTAAGAACACGAGCTTTTCATTTATGTGGGCCCGATGGTCTCTATATCCCTTTCTTTAAAAAAGAACCCTTTCTTTTGAGAACTCCATGAGCGCTGTAGGCACAGCATCCCTCCCGCCTCTTTCCACCTTCCCTCGCTGGAAGAAAAGTTAGGGCTGTTTCCACAAGTCATCAGAATGTCTGGAGACCAGAATGAACGACTCTGAACTTCACAGGTTCAGTTCCAAAGACATAAGGAAAAACATGATAATAACAGCAACAGGGAGTGGTCAGCTGCAGTCAAACAACAGCGTCTCAACCCAGAGACTGCCCTGAGTGTGAAGAACTTATTCTTGACTTGATTATTATGGGGGAAGAAAACCATTAAGGCTTAAACACAGCAAGGGGTAGGGAGCATTGCATTTGTATAACCAAGTCGAACCAACCAAAGTCAAAAAAAGAAGTTCTGTGAAATAAAACAAAAACAATCAGTAAACCTCTGTATTGTATTACCAGAGCACACACGAGGAAACAGTCTTAAGCAGCCTTTGCTTCCGTTCCTCCAATGGACAACCAGACACACTTTATCCTCTCTCAAACCTATTAGCACTGGTTCACATCAATAATTTCAGCACTTGGGAGGAAGCTGAGGCTAAAGGATTATGGGCGTGAGTTCAAGGATAGCCTGGGCTACAGAGTGAGACAAACCCTATCTTTAAGGAAAATAAATGGTAGAATTACCCTCACATCGAATTCCATATTCCCAGATATGGACTAAAGAAGTGTCTTTGCAGAGAGGCAACTGTGTTCCCCTGGAAAGTCCTGCACATCCGCACCAAAGCATGGCAGACATGGAACAGTCACAGCAGACACTTCAGGAGCTCTTGCAAACACCACTGCCCACCAAGCCTGAGCCTGCAGAAACCTGAGACCTAGTAACAAAAGCGTCCGGGGCCTGTCAGTAGCCCCTGGAGCATTTAGCCCTAGACCACAGGGCTCACTTCCTGGAGTCTAGAATCCACCAAAGCCATCACTGTGCTCACCCCTTGTACAGCCAATCTAAAACATACTGGAGAGAGTCCCCCTCCCTCCCTGTCCCCTTCTCATACCCTTTCTCTTGTCTGAGTTAAAATAACATCAACATCATGTTCCAAATCAAAGTTCCAGCATCTTATTAACAAAAACAAAACAAAACAGAAAAGCTCAGAAGTTAAAATGACCTAATTTGTTTGGCAGCTTATTGGGAGGCCAGAGGCTCAGAATACAAGTCGCATTCTGCCAGCATCTTTAGCAGCAATACCATATTTGGTGATCAATATCCTGCCCCACTAGGTTTCTATCCATAGGGATTAGCCAAGTCCCAAACATTTTAAATGGTACAGGATGATGAGCTGGGGGAGGGAGAACAAGCAAGGGAAAGGGAAGGAAAGAAAGGAGAGAGAGAACATGCCATGGGAGGAAATACCTTGTGCTTTTAATTAAAACCTAGTAAGATCCCTCTCTGGCAACAGAAACGTGGTTTTAAATGCTGTCAAGGTGAGAGGACAACCAAAAGAAGCAGGGACTCTCTGCTGCTCAAAACCAACTCTGCCCCTCCAGCCAACAATTCATCAAGACCCTTTCTATCCAAAATGCAAATGGCAGGGGGTTTACACAGATCAGAAAAAGACACGCTCTAGATATCAACATTAACGTGGGGATAAAGATATTGTTCTTTACAAACCACTCATTCCAGCTGCTACAGGGCTGTGCACAGCAATGTGGCCAGTCTCCAGCAATCCAGATTAGGGATGATCTGGAGGCTGAACAGGGCAGCCTGTGTGTGAAGACACAACGCCACAGACAATGGTGGATCCTTGGTAGTCCACTGTGCGTCAGAGAACGCGAGGGTTAAGTATGGTGAAAGAGCAAAGGGCCAAAGGTCACCAGGTGGCAGTGAACCACAGATGGCACAGGGAGTGGGCATAAGCAAAGGTAAGGTCACAACGGGGTCAGGCCCTGGGGGCTCTGCAGTCCATGTGGGGCTGGGGTCCCCACACAGTAGTGCCGTCAAGACCAAGTGGGGGGCTTGCTTTGTTTGCAGTGCTGGGCCACTGTGTTTTTGGATTCAGCATTTCTGACACAGGACTGGAAACTGACTGTTGAGTAATGTTGTGGCCACCTATGCAGTGATCACATGATTCATAGCGGCCAGAGGTCTTTTTACTGTAAGAAAGATGAGCTCCTTGAGAATCCACAACAGGATCTCAGAGACCAGACAGGAAGTCATCAGGGCAGCTGGTTGAGAAAGCAGCCCAACTGGTCCTCTCTAGACTGGGCACTGGGGGACCAATGTCTGTGCACTGTGCCCTTGCTTCTCTGACCACAGCTGATCACTTAAGGGATAGATGCTTCCCCAAGTGACCGAACCATCTTTCTCTTTTGGGATTGAAATCCTGAAGACACAAAAACGAAGGTGGCCAGAGCAGTCACCCTGCCTCTCGTGGAGAGCAGCTGTCCATTTGGGGTTCTTTGTAGAATGTGAATGCCTGGAAGAGGGGTTAACCAGTGCAGTAAACAGAGACCTGTGTCTAACAGTCTGCCCAAGCTGCACAGTGAGCATGCCTATCGGTCCTCAGCAGGGAGTTTAGGGGTAGTAGAATCATTTACAGAGTGAGAGGGAGGGAGGGAAGGAGGGAGGTGGGGAGAGAGGGAGGTGGAGAGGGAGGGAGGTGGGGAGGGAAGGAGGGAGGTGGGGAGGGAGGGAGGGAGGGGAGAAACCAGTAAAGGAGGCAGTCGTGGCACACATACAAAGACACCTGTGGGTTGGCTATATTAAGGCTTGTTGTTAAGAAAAGGGAGAGAGAGACGAGCACAGACTGGGTTATTTGAATTGTTACATACTTTAATTTAAAGCTATAATTGACAAAACCCAGCACAGTCATTTCCAGAAGAGAGAAAGATGAGGCTGGTGTGATGGCCAGGAATCACACGATCAGTCAAGTCAGACTGCTGGCTGCAAATTCTGACAACCTGAGTTGGGTCCCAAACACCCAGGGCGGAGAGAGGTTTTCTCCTCTACTTACATGAGCTCTGCTCCAACCTCCACGGACGTACATGCAGTGGCAAGAACAACATAAATAAAACAAATCCTTTTTTAAAAAAGAGCGCGTCTGAAGCTGGCATTATAGGGAGGGGGTGGCGCACACCTTTAGTCCCAGCACTTGGGAGGCAGACAGAACTTGAGTTGGAGGCCAGCCTGGTCTACAGAGGAAATTCTAGGACAGCCAGGGCTACAGAGAAACCCTGCCTGGGGTGTGTGTGTGTGCGCTCCTTATGGAGGGCTACATTGCCCAGAGCAGGGCCATGGTAGGCATACAACACTCAGCTGGCATTTTCTGTTTACCTTAAAAACTTATGCTGGGCCAGTGAGATGGATAAAGCAGATAAAGGTGTTTGCCATGTGGTGACCTAAGTTCCATCTCTGGAACCGCTGTGAAAGGGGGAACCAAATCAGCCCCACAACCTTGTTCTCTGGCTGTCACGTGTCATGGTCTGCCTATCTTTTAAAAGTTACTGAGAAATTACTCCCAATTTAGAGAACGGGTACGTAGCACAAGAAATTCCTGTTACCACACACAAGTCCCTGAGATGCTGACATATGACCACACGTACTTTTATCTTTCTGCTCCTCTTCTGCCTCTTTCCATAGCTTCTACCACTATTTAAGTCTTATGAGTAATGCATTAACTTCACTGCAGCTTGACTTCCTAAAAATAAGGGCTGTTCTGTGTTTTCTGACCCAGGACCTCTCCAAGAATTGTACAGGGCATCTACCTGTTACCTGCTCCGTCTCCTTGACATTTAATACCAACTTTGTTTTATAAACTGTTTCTCATTGAAGTGTGTGTGTA